GGACAGCAACCATGAAAACTGCCGCTGCAAAGAAAGGCAAGATCACGCAAAAAAGACTCCTTGCCTGTGCTTGGTGGCCTCCCCTTTCGGCGTCATGTGGAGGCACAACGTCATCGTGCGTCTAGGGGGCCCCCAGCAAGCGCTTTAGCGCATCGCCTTGCTGTCATGTGCCGGGCGCCGGCACGTTGGCCCCAAGAGCCCCACCGACACGACATCTGAACTCCGGAGGATTCGATGCCATGTCCCCCTCCACAGGCCTGCCCTACACCCGGCCAGCGGTGTAAGAGCTGCTGGCACTGATGCAGGAAGCACAGCGACGCCCCAGCGACTCACGGGTAGGGCCGAAGTCGTGTACAGCCGTGGCTGGGAAAGTTTGGAAGGCAGTCCCGAACGCCGCAAGACATGATAGAAGTCGAGCTACCTGCTCGAGAAATACATCTGACACCGCCGGCCAACAAACATCCAGAATGGTGGTTCGCCATGTCTTCCCCTGAAACAGATGTGAAACAGAAGCGGGCGCTTCGTAATTATCCTGACCAGAAGAAGTACATGTAAGCACAGAGAGAGAGAGAGAGAGGGAAACAAAACACAGAATGCCCATTTATTTGTCTACGTGCTGGCATGCAGGTCTTGAACAACATTTTTGCAGTCTTGCAGTCATGAATCTTCTAAACCTGTCACTACAGCGGTGTTGTTGCTACTACGGGAATGAAACTGAACATAGCGACTCTGTAGCAATCGGTTTGGTAATACTGTGTGCTACTATTGCTGTAAGCCAGACTCGAAAAGTAAACACTGCCTACCAACCCAAACAAACCGTGACCAAGTGTTCCCAGCATGCCAACCCCTACACAGGGACGAGGGAAGTTCAAGCACCCTTTTCAAGATGCAACTGTGAGCTGCGAAGTTGCAGATTCGGGCGGTCGCACTTGCTGACCACGTTAGCTTCGTTAGCATGCGAATAACCGCGACTACCAATAATGTATGAGCTTACTTTCATACTGCAGGAAAGATCGCGTCAACACATGGTCAACTTCTAGTCAATGGCCTCCCCTTTCAAAGCCGGGTGGAGATCGCAACTTTCTGTTGTAGATCCAAGGGACTCCCAGCAAGCGCTTTAGCCCATCGCCTTGCTGTCATGTGCCTGGCGTCGGCACGTTGGCCTCAAGAGCCCCACCGACACGCCATCTGAACCCTGGAAGGGACCTTGCGCTTGCGTCGGGCAACCGGCCCGAGTCACTTGCCTGATACCAGGCATCGCATGCTTCAGATGCCTGGCGGCCCCCGAAGGATTCAAGGCCGTGTCCTCCACAGAACCTGCCCTACACCCGGCCATCGGTGTAAGAGTTGCCGGCGCTGTTGCAACAGCCACAGCGGCGCCCGAGCGACTCATGGGTAGGGCCACCATCCTCCCAAGCAACGGCTGAGCATTGCCAAGAGTCTACTGTGTGATCATGGTGAGATGCCGCATGATGACAGCAACCATGCAAACTGCCGCTGCAAAGAAAGGCAAGATCACGCAAAAAAGACTCCTTGCCTGTGCTTGGTGGCCTCCCCTTTCGGCGTCATGTGGAGGCACAACGTCATCGTGCGTCTAGGGGGCCCCCAGCAAGCGCTTTAGCGCATCGCCTTGCTGTCATGTGCCGGGCGCCGGCACGTTGGCCCCAAGAGCCCCACCGACACGACATCTGAACTCCGGAGGATTCGATGCCATGTCCCCCTCCACAGGCCTGCCCTACACCCGGCCAGCGGTGTAAGAGCTGCTGGCACTGATGCAGGAAGCACAGCGACGCCCCAGCGACTCACGGGTAGGGCCGAAGTCGTGTACAGCCGTGGCTGGGAAAGTTTGGAAGGCAGTCCCGAACGCCGCAAGACATGATAGAAGTCGAGCTACCTGCTCGAGAAATACATCTGACACCGCCGGCCAACAAACCTCTAGAATGGTGTTTCGCCATGTCTTCCCCTGAAACAGATGTGAAACAGAAGCGGGCGCTTCGTAAATATTCTCTGATCAGAAGAAGTACATGTAAGCATAGAGAGAGAGAGAGGGAAACAAAACACAGAATGCCCATTTATTTGTCTTCGTGCCGGCATGTAGGTCTTGAACAACATTTTTGCAGTCTTGCAGTCATGAATCTTCTAAACCTGTCACTACTAGCAGTGTTGTTGCTACTATGGGAATGAAACTGAACATAGCGACTCTGTAGCAATCGGTTTGGTAATACTGTGTGCTACTATTGCTGTAAGCCAGACTCGAAAAGTAAACACTGCCTACCAACCCAAACAAACCGTGACCAAGTGTTCCCAGCATGCCAACCCCTACACAGGGACGAGTGAAGTTCAAGCACCCTTTTCAAGATGCAACTGTGAGCTGCGAAGTTGCAGATTCGGGCGGTCGCACTTGCTGACCACGTTAGCTTCGTTAGCATGCGAATAACCGCGACTACCAATAATGTATGAGCTTACTTTCATACTGCAGGAAAGATCGCGTCAACACATGGTCAACTTCTAGTCAATGGCCTCCCCTTTCAAAGCCGGGTGGAGATCGCAACTTTCTGTTGTAGATCCAAGGGACTCCCAGCAAGCGCTTTAGCCCATCGCCTTGCTGTCATGTGCCTGGCGTCGGCACGTTGGCCTCAAGAGCCCCACCGACACGCCATCTGAACCCTGGAAGGGACCTTGCGCTTGCGTCGGGCAACCGGCCCGAGTCACTTGCCTGATACCAGGCATCGCATGCTTCAGATGCCTGGCGGCCCCCGAAGGATTCAAGGCCGTGTCCTCCACAGAACCTGCCCTACACCCGGCCAGCGGTGTAAGAGTTGCCGGCGCTGTTGCAACAGCCACAGCGGCGCCCCAGCGACTCATGGGTAGGGCCACCATCCTCCCAAGCAACGGCTGAGCATTGCCAAGAGTCTACTGTGTGATCATGATGAGATGCCGCATGATGACAGCAACCATGCAAACTGCCGCTGCAAAGAAAGGCAAGATCGCGCAAAAAAGACTCCTTGCCTGTGCTTGGTGGCCTCCCCTTTCGGCGTCATGTGGAGGCACAACGTCATCGTGCGTCTAGGGGGCCCCCAGCAAGCGCTTTAGCCCATCGCCTTGCTGTCATGTGCCGGGCGCTGGCACGTTGGCCCCAAGAGCCCCACCGACACGACATCTGAACTCCGGAGGATTCGATGCCATGTCCCCCTCCACAGGCCTGCCCTACACCCGGCCAGCGGTGTAAGAGCTGCTGGCACTGTTGCAGGAAGCACAGCGACGCCCCAGCGACTCACGGGTAGGGCCGAAGTCGTGTACAGCCGTGGCTGGGAAAGTTTGGAAGGCAGTCCCGAACGCCGCAAGACATGATAGAAGTCGAGCTACCTGCTCGAGAAATACATCTGACACCGCCGGCCAACAAACATCCAGACAAGTGTTTCGCCATGTCTTTCCCTGAAACAGATGTGAAACAGAAGCGGGCGCTTCGTACTTATCCTGACCAGAAGTAGTACATGTAAGCACAGAGAGAGAGAGAGAGGGAAACAAAACACAGAATGCCCATTTATTTGTCTTCGTGCCGGCATGTAGGTCTTGAACAACATTTTTGCAGTCTTGCAGTCATGAATCGTCGACACCTGTCACTACTAGCAGTGTTGTTGCTACTATGGGAATGAAACTGAACATAGCGACTCTGTAGCAATCGGTTTGGTAATACAGTGTGCTACTATTGCTGTAAGCCAGACTCGAAAAGTAAACACTGCCTACCAACCCAAACAAACCGTGACCAAGTGTTCCCAGCATGCCAACCCAAACACAGGGACGAGGGAAGTTCAAGCACCCTTTTCAAGATGCAACTGTGAGCTGCGAAGTTGCAGATTCGGGCGGTCGCACTTGCTGACCACGTTAGCTTCGCTAGCATGCGAATATCCGCGACTACCAATAATGTATGAGCTTACTTTCATACTGCAGGAAAGATCGCGTCAACACATGGTCAACTTCTAGTCAATGGCCTCCCCTTTCAAAGCCGGGTGGAGATCGCAACTTTCTGTTGTAGATCCAAGGGACTCCCAGCAAGCGCTTTAGCCCGTCGCCTTGCTGTCATGTGCCTGGCGTCGGCACGTTGGCCTCAAGAGCCCCACCGACACGCCATCTGAACCCTGGAAGGGACCTTGCGCTTGCGTCGGGCAACCGGCCCGAGTCACTTGCCTGATACCAGGCATCGCATGCTTCAGATGCCTGGCGGCCCCCGAAGGATTCAAGGTTGTGTCCTCCACAGAACCTGCCCTACACCCGGCCAGCGGTGTAAGAGTTGCCGGCGCTGTTGCAACAGCCACAGCGGCGCCCCAGCGACTCATGGGTAGGGCAAAACTTCGCTTCATCTGGGAGCTCCTTAGCTTACAATCACTCCAGACCCTCTTTCATGCTGACAGAGCAACCATGCCGACGACACCAAAACCATAACCCTGAAGTCCGACACAAAAGTCGGTGCCAGAGACACGTCAGGGGATCGAGCCTGGTTTTCTTGGTCGGCGTTCACTCCGACTGCGACGACTGTGACCATCGTCGCCACCGCTACCAGACACTGCCAATACGACTGCTGCTGCTGCTGCTGCGGCTGCTTTTTTTGCTACTACTACTACTACTACCACCACCTATTTTTACTAGCTACCGCAACTGCTACTGCTAATGCTACCGGTAGTACTGTCTGCTAGCACTGCTAGAACCACTAGTAGTACTAGTACCAGTACTAGTGTACTGCTACTACTAGTCGTCCGCCTACTACTACAGCTACTGCTGCTGCTGCTGCTGCTACTACTACTACTACTACTACTACGACGACTACTTACTAACTACTACTGCTGCTACTCGCGCTGGTCGAAACCGCCACCAACAACAGCACCGACGAAGCCAACGACTACGACTGCCACCGATGACTACTGACGGTTGCTGCTGCGAAATGGGTGTTGGCGACGAAAGGCACGACGAGACTGAGCACGAGCATCCAGAGAGATAAACCTTCAGCACCCCGCCACCTTCACCGGCGTCACGGCAGGCGCCGGAGCAGCCGGAACCTCAGTACGGTAGTGAAACGGGATAGGGCTTCGGCTTTGATGCTTTGAGCACCTATGGTGTTGCAACATGGCGCGGCGCTCGAGTCCAATTTCTGAAGCCGACAACCAGATCTTGAATCTAGAAGCCCCGAACCCCCCGACCCTAGGCGTTGACAGGGTCTTGGGGTATATTGTAACGTAATATAGGGGCCGAAATAATTCGAATCATTGGGTTTGGGGGGTATAGTATACTATACTTAAGATTAGAAGGAACCCCCAAAATACTATAGGTAATTATCCAGGCCTCTAAATTAGCACACTCAAAACCCCAAGCCCCGAAGTCAACCCCAGGTAGCCGCTCCCTGAACCCCGAACGCCCACTGCTCCGTGTTGAGGCCATGGGCTGCCGATAGATATTACGTTATATAACCGTTCTTGCCATAACTACTGTTGCCATTATCACGATCACTATCCATGAAGCCTCCGTCTGCCTCCATGTGGGTGCTAGTCAACATGAGGCTCCTTTTTGGGGTCCGTACTATAATACGGCACCTCATATGTAGGGTACCCAAAGAGGGACCAACATTTTGACAGCTACGTTCACAGGGGTTTACTCCGTGTAAAGGGAACACCGGACAAGTCATTTGAACTCGAAAGTTCCTCCAAGCATAAAACCCTACAGCCCTATAGCCTTGAACCCCTAAGCCAGCGTCTAAGAAGTCTAAGCCGTGTGAAAACTCTGCAACCCCATCTCCCATGTGCTAAGATTAAGTTGCCAAAGCCTTTCTCTGCCTGTCCCAGAGACTCCAATATCCGTTAATGAAGGAATGTACCTTACATGCCTTAAATCATATTAGGGATCCTACTATAACTGAAGGTATCTTCCTTAAATTCCTTTATAAAGCCCTGATCGGTCCTTTTAAGGAACCCTTTGAGGAACCCTTTAGGGCTATATTCCCTCATTAAAGAGATCTTGGAGTCTCTGGGCTGCATGCCCCACAATGCACCTGAAGACCTCCAGGCGCCCTCCACTTTCGAAGGCAAAGCTCCCAAGATCTACCCCTTGTTCACTCGGGAGCTTCCGAAAATTGGGGGACCCTATAATATATGTATATATATATATATATATATATACATACATACATACATACATACATACATATATATATATATATACATACATATGTATGTAGTACCTCAAATAGCAAGAGCCAAATTATGAAGACCCCCACATACTGTAATTACTATTGATTACTCTTAAGTTTCGGAAACTCTCATTCTTCAGCTCTCGTCAATGGACCTTGGCGTTCGGGATCCAGGGTTTTAAGTCACCTTTTTGAGGCAGGATGCTTTCTCAGACTCCGCGCGTCGGAAATCCTGGCCAAGCTAGTGGGTGCTTATAGGGTCTTCTAGCTTCTTTCACCGATGTTGATTACGCGGTCTTCTACAACTTCTAGTAATAAGCCGCGGCTACTTCGTTTGGGACGTTGTTGGCTTGGGTTCGGAGTTTACAGAACTTGGGCTTGAATTCGAGTGCCGAAGTGGTAGTCGCCACGGCGCGCTTCCCTTTGGCCTGAGCTGTCCCTGGATACGGGACATCCCCCCCAAAGAAGGTGTACCCCGGCAGTGCATAAGAAAGCACGTTCTCAAGTCAAGGTCAGGGTTGAGGGCCCACAAACACAGACGTGGAGCACACAGCTTACGATGCGTTCCACACAACCTGTTCCCTTAGCGACTCAGTGGTGTTCTGAGGCCTTTCCTAAACCCACACCCTGAACTCTAAACCCACGTTCCACGAGCCCTAGAAACAGGTGCAAACCCGAGCCCCAGCTTGCCCCGTGTGATCCGTCATGAACAATGGACCGTAAATCTTCACCATGAACCCTACTACTAGTAGTAGTAGTAGTAGTAGTAGTAGTAGTAGTAGTAGTAGTAGTAGTAGTAGTAGTAGTAGTAGTAGTAGTAGCAGTAGTAGTAATAGTAGTAGTAGTTAGTAGCAGTAGTAGTAGTAGTAGTAGTAGTAGTAGTAGTAGTAGTAGTAGTAGCAGTAGCAGGAGCAGGAGTAGGAGTAGGAGTAGGAGTAGGAGTAGCAGTAGTAGTGGCAGTAGTGATAGTAGTAGTAGTAGTAGCAGCAGCAGCAGCACTAGTCGTAGTAGGAGTAGCAGCTAGACCCGAAGTCCTGATCCATAGACCCTTTTGCTCCAAAACCCCCAACTCAAACGCCAGCAACCTTGACACACCCATGCACTGTTAGCTTGCTCAGGCTTCCATGTTGGCGGTTTAGGATTCAGGGTATGGGACTAGGAGGTGCTGTTAAACCTTTGAAAAGTATTAGTAGGTAAGATCCTCTTAAGCCCAATAAAACCAAACATAAAATGTCCCAAAGCCCTACCTATGGGATTTTGGATCCAGACAGCTGAAGAGCCGCACACAATCCCCGTATGGGAGCTTCCGAGAATTGGGGGGGGGGGTACCTTATTTTGGGGTCCTTATAATAAGGATCCTACTCACCTACTCTTCAGGGTGCTACAATAGGCTCCCCTATTTTCGGAAACTCCCGTCTCTGACTCTTCTGCTACGTGGAAGACATGCCTAGCCCTCCTCAGTCCTGCTTCCGGCATGACGGAGCAAGGAACCCCAAACTCCCCAAACACGTCAACCGATGCAACGAAAGCACCCACCACCCACATGCACAAACGCAGCCTCCAACTTCCTCGTCGCATCCTCCAGACGCCGCTCAGCATCCTGCCGCAAAACTCGCCGCATGTAACTGGCAATGTGTTTGGGGTTTAGGGTCCCCTTGGTGAGTCCTTGTTCTGATTGGACACCTCAAAGAAACCATATTCCCATACTCCAGTACCCTATCTCACAAATTGCATCGCAGGAACGAGAACAACGCCCAGTTCTGATCTGGCTACCTTCATCCTCCCCTCCCCTCCCCTCTTCACCATCATCATCACACAATCACCGTCACCATCACCATCATCTACAGCCCAATGTAACAGTTGAAACGCGGGTGCTTGTCAACAATAGGGTCCCTGTTCAGGTCCTTAATATCATACGGCACCTACTATTTAAGGTACCCCGAAAAGGGACCCTAGTTTTGACAACCACCCACATGGAGACTTGTTTCCGAAAATAGGGGACCCTAATATAGCACCCGAAATAGTTATTATAAGCACCCCAAAAGAAGGTGCCCCCAATTTTCGGAAACTCCAAACCCTTATAGAGTACCCTTATAGTCACCCCTTCAAAGGAACCCTTAGGTACCCCTAATTTTCGGAAACCACCCACATGGAGACTTGGTGAAGTCCTAATGTAGGAACCTGATTAAGAAACCCTGGGCCTATAACACCAAAATAGTAAGGTTCATATGAAAACAAGGGCCCAAAGTTTCTTAATCAGGTTCTTACAACCATGGTTGGAGACCCTCTTTAAAAAGCCAAAAGCCCTATGATTCACACAAGGAACCCTAATAAAGGCCTAAGGTTTCAGGTTTCTTAATCGGGTTCCTACATTACGGACAAGAGCGCTCCATCGCTCTAAATCCGGGGAAAGGTCGCGAAAAAATCGCAGGCTGCGGCCATGCGCCCCGAAAGAAAAAAAACACAAGAAACATTTTGAGTTTGGGGTTTAGTGTTTTAGGGTTTAGGGGTTTTAGGGCTTAGGGTTTTGATGATCAAATTGGGTTTATAGATCAACCATGATTCCCTGAACCCTGAACCCCTTCGCCAAACCTTAAACTCGTAAACTCCCAAAGGTTAAGGACTGAAGAGTCCACTTGGGAATCCAGAGTTGGCCTCTGCGCGCTGCATCGCTGCGGCATAAGCACTCCTCGCAAGTCGAGCTGACACATGCCTGAACGATGTCTCATAGTGTCCCCGTAAAACCCTTTTTACCTATACCACCACAGATTCGTCTTATGATTGTTAAGGCCCCAAACGTTGAGTCGAGCCTGTGGTCCTTTCCGGACTGCTGCGGCCTAGAACAGTCTTGAAAGGGTTTGTCTCAAACATCAACCCTCCAGCCCAAGCAAAATAATGCCCAACGTTTAAAGCTTAGGGATTCCGGTTGAATGTCATGAACAAGCGTTTCGAACGCTGTGTCTTCAGGTTGGCTTCATGGACTTAAGGTGTCAGCTGTAGGGTTGGCCTCAACAAATTCGGCACAGTGGCACAGCCCAAGCGGTCTGAAGCATGTAACGCTGCCCCTGCCCGCTCCCAAATGCAAGCAAAACCCCAAAAGCCAGAGCCCTAACCCCAAATACAAAGCTGCCTGTTCCCACATGCAAGCAAAACCCTAAAAGCCACAGCCCCAACCCCAACTAAAAAGCAGCCCCCACACCCGACATCCTAAAGCCCTAAACCGTCCTTGTGGGCAGTTGCACACAGAGCTATAACTACCTCAATTGGGGATGTAAGAACTATACCTACCTTACTTCTGCGCGTGCTTCCTAGTCCCTCTTCTTTATATACATTCCAGAACCCTCGCAGCCCTGAACTCTGGGCGCACATCCCCGCGAGATGCGGCCTCAATTCTTCTTGCTGCTTTTCAAGACTTCGAACCTGTGCCTGCAGCGCAGTGGTCGTTTCCATCGGGGGAAGCTTTTTGAGGTTTCGGTTTAAGGCTTCCGTGTTTGACCTCTTGACTCTAACGCACGAACCCGAAACCCAGGCCACCTGTTACTCGAGACCAACTTACTCTATCACGATGACATACATGCGAAGTATGAATGCCTGAAACCCCTTTATTGGGAGGAGAGACTGTGGCACCTGCTCCCGGCACTTGTCCTCTCTCTCTCTCTCTCTCTCTCTATCCCCAAGCTTTTCCTTCTCCTTCGATTTTTCCGTGAAGGGAAGCTCAAGTGGCTATGTGACTCGGAACACCGACCTCCTACTGGGCCGCAGCTTTGAAAGCTCCGGGGATTCGAAAAAAACAAAATCCAAGTGCCGAATTTCCTTTTTGTGCAACTCAAAGTGGCATTATCATTGCTGCTCCCACAGAAATCGGCATGTAAGCTGGTTGCCTTGTTGCTTAATCTTAGATCGACTGCTCAGTTGCTACTGTTCCTCCAAGCACTACAGTCGCTACAGCGCGTGCACCGTAGCCCCAATCGAACCTGACTGGCTAGCTGACTGACTGTCTACCTGACAAGTGATTGAAGAACAAGGTGGACAACTAACGGCTTCAAGTTTTCACCCGTCAGCGTAACGGCTTCGATCGACAAGACTGGACACGTCATGCACGACTTCAATTGCAACTCAAACCGGACGACCCTACAAGCAACAGTTCCTGCTACTGCATCAGCAGCTACAAACCCCAGAAGCCCAGTGGAGACCTTGCAAGATTCCCCGTAACCCCGAAACCCCAAACCGTATACCGCATATCAACACCCCACAGCAAAACGAAGTTGCAGGAACCTGTCTACATATGGGGCCTGTAAACGCAATTACGTCGCACATAAGGTCGTGCTTAAGCCGCAGGGGCCCCTCTGAAACTACCCATATTGTAAACAGAAAGCGTGACAGAAGCTCGATGAGCCGTGAACCCAACAAGCCCACCCGCCTAAACTTCCAAACCCCCAACACACGAAACTCACAAAAAACCTTAAGACACCCAAACTCGTAAGGCACCCCTTGTAGTCATCCTCCTTCCCCAAGCCTAAACGCCGTTTTTGGAACCTATATAAACGGTGCACCCCGAATTGCGCTAAACCCTAATCCCCAAATTACCCGAAACTGCAAGACCCAAACGAGCCTTTTTTGCATCGGGACTGATGCAGTCGACGGAAAATCAATCTTTACCCAACCTACCCTTTCTTGAACCCAGACTTTGCCAAACTACCCTTTTGCACCTGGACTATGCCTATGCATATGCCAGGAACTGAGGCGCCGACTGTGCTGTGGAGTAGCCGTGTGGCACGAGTCCACAGCACAGTCGGCGCCTCGGTGCCAAACTACCCTTTTACATCTGGACTTGATGAATGCCAGCACCCCACTGAGCACAGAACCGAAAACTACCCCAAGCCCTAAGTCACAATAAGCCGCCTTTTCGAAAACTGCCGTATTATTTTATAAGGACCCAAAAAAAGGGGGCCCTAATTCTGAACCGGGCCCCCTGCCGTCAGAGACGTCACCTCCTCGCGCGGAGCCGAGGCACCGAGCTTAGCGTGCAAAGCCTCGCGAACATCGCAGTCCGAAGTAACAGCAGGAGGGTCTAAGACTTAGGGGCTTAGGGGTTTAGGGTTTAAGGTCCAGGGGTTTGGGGTTAGGATTTGGGGTGTGGGGGTTTAGGGTGTAGAGTTTAGGGGTTTAGCCGTTTAGCGTTTAGGGTTTCGGGCGTAGGGTACAGGGTGTATAAGCTGCAGGGCTGAGGTCTGGGATTGAGGTGCTAGCTGGATTGCTCTAGGGGTCTCTGCAAGGGTGCTACACGGGTTCTTTTGCCGCTCCATGCGGGTTCTGTACACAAAAGGTTTAGGGTTTCTGCAGGGGCTCCACACATGGTTCTATGCGGCCCTGTAAGCATGCAAAAATATGCCCCGAAACCCTATTGTAATTTGAAGCCGACCAGATTATTGTACCTTATATTTACCCTTCATACATGTAATTTGAGAGTACCCTGATAGTACCCTTGAACTTGACACTCCTCAAGTACCTTTCTAATACCCTTCTAGATCCTTCACGGAACACCTCTTAGAACCCCTTGGGGCTGTGGGCCTCGATCCGCCCCTCCAGCTCCCGGATCGTCGCCTGCTCCGCTGACATCTCCTGCCAAGCTTCATCTTCCACCCTGGGCCCCGAAGCCCCGGAGATGAAGGGTTCATGGGCTTAGGGGTTTAGGGGGCTTTAGGGGTTTAGGGGGTTCAGGGGTTTAGGAGTTTAGAGGGTTAGGGGTTTAGGGGGTTTAGCGGTTTAAGGGTTTAGGGTATTGCCGATCACGTGAGCCTGTGTCTCAGACTTTCTGGAGGATCTCTCTCTCTCTCTCAAACACACACACACACACACACACAGATTTCCCCCCCCCCCCCTCCGCCTCCTCTTCCTGTGTAGCCAGCAGTGCGGCGGCATCCACGACACGGCGGCTCTGTGCGTAGGACTTGCGGCTCGTGGAAATGCTGCAGATCACGGCCTCGGCTTCTGGCGTTGGTCTTCAGGGCTTTGGGCCTTGGGACTACGGAATGTTAGAAGCTCAGTCTCGCGGGATTTCTAACTTAAGGGCTGCTTAAGGGCGAAGGGTTGAGGGCTTCAGGGTCCTGGGCCTAGGTCGAATGATAAGGTCGGGGCTAAGAAGAGACTCAGGGCTTTGGATGTCATGGGTTTACGGCCGAAACGCTTCCTTCTGAAATTTCTGCCTGTTAGGGAGGCGCTCCAATGGGTTCCACAGGGTGAAATTCCGAGGCTTATCTGGGACGTCTAGCTTTTTGCATGGTTTTCGTGAGGTGAGGGAGGTCTGGGAGCCATCATGGATCCATTTCGCAAAGTCTTTCACATGCCGAGACAGGACCAAAAAGCCTTAGAGGCTGAGTACCTTTGCCCAAAAAGTTAACCTTTTCAATATGACGGTAGGGTTATGTAAAGCTCAACAGGTTAAAGGTTACCTACCCAGCTACAAAGAAGCAGATGATCCCGATGACAAGATCAGAAAATGACCAATCTCTTATGATGAAGAGATGGAGAGTTCGAGGGTTCAAGGTTTAGGGTTGGAGAGAGGTAAGACCCCCAAGGGTCACGGAGGCCAACGATAGGACGATTGAGTTTAGGGGTAAACTCTGGGGTGTCTACCTCTCATAAACTGCAGACTTCTCTCCGGACATTTGGGTGCCAAGGGCTCCCTCAACCTCTCGTTCCGGTCTGCATTTTTCGTTGCCGTCGGACACAGCAGCGTCAAGAGTGGGCGTAATGGACGGGCAGAGCATTCAGCCACAGCCGGAACTGGAAAAATTCTTTAATATAGGGGCCTTAATATTTAGAACAGGGTTTTGGGGTAGATTGTACTAGAATCATAATAAGGATCCCCCAAAATAGTCTAGGTAATTATTTAGGCCCCTACAGTACGAGAACTACTTTCTGCGCGGCTCAAGGTCCTCATTCGCAGTGAGCCTCCGGAGACGTGCACCGGTTTTCGGGTCGCATTCCTTGCAACGTCGCGGCTTTGGGGTGAACGCCAGGCTATTGTGACTCCCGCAACTCGGGGCACTGCAGGCCGGGAGGGTCTAGGGTTTAGGGGTTTAGGGTTGGGCCTTAAAAGTTTTAAAATGATCAAGGGCTGGAAGAACTGGAAGGCGGCGCATGGGCTCGGTTTGAATGGAAGCCTACAGAAGTGGACTGCGTCAAACATGGCGATGACATCTCAAGGTAGCCCCTCACGACAAAGGTCGGTAAATTTACGGTGGTAGGCTTCAGACTCATGGCGATCGGATGATCTTGGCGAGGAAGTGGCGTCATGGGCGGAATACCCTAATTTGGGGTCCTTATGACAAGGGTCCTACTATCCTTCGGGCCTTGTGGCCTTACCCATCATCGGAGTTCCGACCTCTCGGTACACCGACACACTGATGGAGCTGCACATCGTAAGGCTAACATAGGGGAGTTTCGGAAATATGGGACCTGATATAGACTCTGCACAGTAGGACCCTCATTCCGAGGGCCCATGCACACAGACGCTAGTCTGAAGAATCCCCAGGCTCCAGGAGTCTCGAAGACTTCAGCTCTTGCGATCTCCTCCCTCCACCTCAACTTGTTTAGCCAAGATCCGAACCTTCAAAAGGGTTTCGACTCGCACACTCGTGCAACGCAGGCACGGATTCCGGGTGCGGCGGGACCAAAAGAGTTTAGGGAACCAGCCCCTCCCTGAACTATACTGAACTTAGAACCCTAGCAAACATTATGATTTTAGCTGTTTCTTAGGGATTATAATAACCAAAAATTAAAAATCATTTCTAAGTACCCCTAAGTGAACCCGAAGCAATAAACGTGTCCGACTGGATCGGCCGGAGGGCCCAGATCTCCACGCCGAGGCCCCGCGGCGGTGGGGCGCTGAGGATCCTCGGTGCGCAAGGACCCTCAAACTTCTGAGTTGTCCTTTAAGCCCTTTGAAAATTATCTACTATTATGGTTCTACAAAATAGTAGGGGAAATTAAAAAAGATCCCAAAGAACAACCCAGACTTTGAGAAGCTTGGGACTCGAGCCCCTGGAAGCCTTATAGGTTTAAGGGTTTAGGGCTTCAAGGGTTTAGGTTGAGGCCTTTAGCTTTCGGGGTGTACGTACTGCAAAAGCCGGGAGGTCTGGGCCGCAGCAACCGGAGAAATCATAGCTCCAGAACAACATGGCGCATGAGGAGCAACAGCTTTTGGAACAGATAGGCTACGTGCAACCTTCACAAGCAGAACAACCAAGCATATGTGCTGAGAAACCACCGCCACCTTCGCTCCAGGGATTTTTTCGTACACATGCTGCAGACCTTATACAAGGGTCCAACGCTCATTGCAGCTCTCCAGGAAGCCTATGAATTCTTGAACACGCCCCATCCCCTGCGACTCCCCTTCGTGGGTTTAGGATCCCGAACCCTAATAAAGGGGCCTTAATAATATTAGGATTGTGTTTTGTGGCCCATTATACTATTATTATAATAAGGAACCCCCAAAATAGTCTTCGTAATGATCTAGGCCCCTATATTAAATCCCGAACCGATACATCCATCGAGAGTCTGGAAGAAGGAGGGCACCGTCTTTCGGACGCAGCTGGGATCTTCCTCGGCTTTGCGCTGCAGACAGAGCCTAATATAGGGGCCTGAATATTTAAAATGGGGTTCCTCTGAAGGGGTCTGGAACCCCCAAAGTACTATAGAAAATAATTCAAGCCCCTATATTAGGGGATCCTGTTCTAAACTACGGCCTGTTTTGCTTCAGTGGTTACACCACTGAGGTATTACGACATTGAACCCCAATGCCAATAAGGTGGCGACTGCCTTGAAGGGCCAAGGCGTCGAGGTGCGGGCTATCGAAGGATGAAGGATGCAGAAACTCCAAACTTGAGTGCAAGTGCCAGAGGTTAGGCCAGAGCGATGGGCAAGTAGTCAGATTTCGACGGAGCTTCGGGAGGGCAACTACGCAATCTAGGCCAATTGAAAGGCTCCAACCCCATTAAACCTGGCCAAGTGGGAGTTTCCGAAAATAGGGGACCCTAATATGGGACCATATATAGTAGGATCCTTCTAAGGACCCCAAAATAGCTGACACTTGGCTGGTTGATTCCTTCCACACCTGAAGACAAGCCCTCCTCAAACCCTTCTACTCCTTCAGGCCTCGTTTGAGTTTCACATACTAGTAATATAGGGGCCCTAATGATTAGAATATCTTCAACACCCTCAACCCTAAACCCTAAACCTCCACACCCTAAACCCTAGACCCTAAAACCTAAACCCTTTAACTGGCCCTAAACCCTAACCCCTAAACCCTCTCTTCAACCCCATGAGTCGAGGCTCAATCTTGATCCCTGGAGCTGCCAGTCCCAGGGTGGCAAAGCACATCGCCATGCGGTGGTCCTCAGTTTGGGCTTTAGGGTGGTGTAGGGTTTAGGGCTTTAGAATGTAGGGGGCGTAACAGTGTAGGGTTTAGGGTTTTGATTTAAGGCTTAGGGCTGCAGTGGTCCCCAGTGTAGGCTTTGGGGTGGTGGCGTAGGGTGCTTAGGATTGCGATGGGTTTAGGGTAGGAATGTATGGAATAGGGCTTAGGGGGTGTATGGTTTGGGGTTTCGGGTACAGGCTTCAGGGGGTGTAGGGTTTAGAGCTTAAGCTTTAGGGGTGGAGGGTTTCTGGTTTAGGCTTCAGGGGGTGTAGGGTTTAGGTTTTTGACTCGAACACTCGTATGAAGGCAGGCACCGCTTCATGGGTTGAGGGATGGGCTTGCACTCGAACACGATGCTTCGTCAAGGTTTAAGGGAAGTAGAGATCATACTCGGGCATAGCCACACGAAGTTCAGTTCATGGGGGGTTTAGGTTTAAAGGCGTACGGGTACGAGTTATTGCGTCACCAAAGGGCGGCTTCGGGCTTCGGACTTGCAGAGCTTAAGGTTAGACTTAGAGGCTGTCCCGGATCAGGTCTCGGGCTTTCGAGGGCTTTGGAGTTTACGCTGGAGGAATTTTGGGAATGTGAGCTCGGAGCGTTTGATCCTAAATGCAAACAACACAATGCGCTTGAGAAGCTCAGCTCATGGGTTTATACCACAATACGCAAGACAAACCACTCCTGAGAAAGACTAGGGTGCACCTAAACTTAAACAGAAGATCAGGCTCTGAAGCTCCCACATGCGCAGAACGGAAAGTTAGAGCTCCCTAAAAGTCCGCTGAACCCAAAGAGTTCCCTGTTGAAACAGCCGGACTTGATGCAAAAAGAACCTTTTAGGCCTCAACCCTGGGCCGGTGGTTGGATATTTAGCACTCCGGCCTCTGGTACTTTTTTAACTACTGTGTTACTGTTACAATTACTATTATTACGATTACGATTACTATTTTTATTACTATTACTCTTACTCTTCCTATTACTATTGCGTCTTCCTCCCGTGCCGGACGTCGTTGCCGGCCCCCAGTCCCCAGTTTACAGGTCATGAGAGCGCCTCCCAACAAGCTGTGGCACAGAGACCAAACATAAACCGGACCTCACTGAAGCATCGGGAGGTAGCGACATAGTGAAGGGATTACTATCAGTTATTACTCAAACAGACAGTCAATACTTTTACTCGAGACTGCTAAGAGGAGACGAGGAGACCAACCCCAAGTGCAGCTTTGCATCGTGGTAGGTGTGGATGGAGGCATCACCTCCAGGCGACCCCGGAGGGCTGTTTTTGCAACATGCTCCCAGAGACTCCAATATCCCCTACTTAAGGATTATACCTTAAATTGTAGTAGGATCCCTCATGGAATTTAAGGAATATTCCTTCATTCAGGGATATGGAGTCTCTGGGCTACTGTTGGATCCCTCCCTCTCTCTCTCTCGCGCACTCTCTCGGAGGTATGAGTACATACCTATATAATATGTCTAACTTACTATAACTTACCATAAATAATATCTCTCAGATCTTGGGACTGCTGCACACTGAGGGCCTTTTTCAGGTGCTGGCTTCAATCCGGGAAATCAACACTGGTGGTCGGGCATGTCATTTTGAGGAAAGCCAGGCAAGCCATCTAGTTAGGTTTTGGGGCTCAGGTTTTTTGCTCCCACTGCGAGTGGAGTTTGAAAAACTTGTAATTAATTAACTCGAGCCGCGAAAAACACCACCCCGGCACCACGGTACAAAAGAGGCTTTGGAAACGCGGCGAGTCAGCTCCATCTAATTCGGCCGTAGCGCACCGGAAGTAGAGCTGTCTTCGGCATGCTTCGAGATAGAGTTCCCAACACGCGAGATCGGCAGAAAGATGCAGAAAGTAACACCGAGTTTGAGCACTATAGGGGCCTGACTAGTTACCAAAACTATTTTGGGGGTTCATTATTGCAATTATAGTATCACGGGCCCCAAAACCCTGTTCTAGTTATTCAGGCCCCTGTAGCACCGTCCCAGTGGAGGCCCTCGAAATCCCCCTCGTCTGGCCTATGGCAGACTCGCATGGCGCGACCTCGAGGGTGTCTTCCACCTGGTCTCCAACTGAACCCTAAACCCTCAGTCCCAAGCACCTGAATTTAAGACTCACTCCTGAGACACACTCCGAAAGATCCACAAGCTCCGGGTTCAACTTGACCAGCACATCTGCCACTCCAACCTAAAGAACCCCAAACCTTAAAGCCCTGAAACACCAAACCTATATCTTGGAGGAGGCACAGGATGCACGTGCCCTCATCCCCCGGACCCTAAAACTCTCTGCCTTAACACTATAAGGAAGTCAGGATAAGGCACGCTAAAAAGATGTCATAAGCCCTAAACGAAACCCTAGGCCTCCTTCACGTCGACCTTGCACTTCGTAAGCTCCTCGGAGAGAGCAGCCCGAACCCTGCCAAGCCCAAACGAAGAAGACAAAGCCTGTACATGATATGGTATTGGCGTATCTTGCCTTTACCTGACCTATTCAAAACAAACTGTATTATGTTATCTTGAAGTATCTTATACTATATGCTATCATAAAATTATATTCATCTCAGGCGTTGCTTTACAATGCTTTACAAGGGCTTCGGGTTCCGGCGGCCCCCAAACCCCAAACCGCCGAAGACCGAAGCCACAAGCATCGCAGGGAGAGTGCCGGGGTTTGCTTTAAAAGCGGGGTGTTCCTGGTCGAAGCTATGCTCGTGCGCAGACGTGGACTACAGTAGCGAATCAGGAGAGCCCTGGTATTCTGAGGCTGTCATGTTGTGCCTGGAGTCCCCGAACATGTTTCACAGAGGAATACGCACGTTTGGCAAGGATCTCCGTGCTTCGATTCCAGGGACCCGCAAAGGACCCCAGGGGACCTAAAGAGCCGCTCTGTATCAGCAGTTATCGATTCCCCTACCCTGCTCCGTGCTGAACCTGCACACCAACTTGCTGGGCTTCCCGAGCTTCCCAAAAAAGCCTAGCGCCCGAAACCCCAAGCCTCACACGCACACGGAGCGTTGCTAGAACGCACCGGCCACCCCAGCCCCGGACCGGCGGTCAAGCGGATGTAGCATGAAGAGCAGGAGAGAGAGAGAGAGAGAGAGAGAGAGAGAGAGAGAGAGAGAGAGAGAGAGGGAGGGAGGGAGGGAGGGGGGAGGAGGTAGACGGAGAGAGAGGAGGGAGGGGAGGGAGGGAGGGAGGAGGGAGGGAGGGAGGGAGGGGGGGGGAGGGGGCAGGGGGGGAAGGGGGGAGGGGGGGAGGGGGGGAGGGAGAGAGGGAGACGGGAGAGAGAGAGAGAGAGATAGAGGGAGAGAGAGAGAGAGAGGGAGAGAGCGCGGTTCAAGGCTCAAGGTTTCGGGGTTTACGCTTTCCAGCCGTACTGTAGGGAGCGGGGTTCCGGGAGTTCAGCTTTGAGGTTGAAAACGTTGAGGCTTCCGCTTTGTGCTTTTGGATTCCGGCTTTATTGGCATTTAGTTTGTGTGGAGCTTATCAGCTTATCTCAAGCATGCCATTCTCGTAGGATCTCGGAAACAAGAGATGATCAATACCACTTGATGCTACTAGGTGGGTGTTTCTGTGGCGGCTGTCGGGGAAGCAGGCTGCCAAGAATCTGGTTGCGAAACTACCGTGATGCATCACCAAGGCTCGTCGCGCAGAGCTTGTACACGCTCACACTCTTGCTTGCGCAGCACGCCTAGTTTCACGAACCTGACAGCTGACGGGCATGATGCCAACGGTCATAACAACAAAACCCCGAACCGAGCGGGGTTCATGTCATGAGGCGTCAACGGTAGGTCTTTCACATAGCATTCCAAAAACAACTATGAACTTGCGAACTTCGTAAGGTTGTCGCCGTTGGTATGTGTCAACATGATGATGTGGTCGTGCGCTTTCCATGTACGATACTTTGTACACTGTCGACAAAAGTCATATATATGATTCCCCATACAGTCCACGTACAGTGATACTACAATAGTCCCCAAACCCGCTTATGATTACAGAGGCCCCCGGCACTTTGAGTCTCCGACCCCCTTCATTCCTTGAAAACTGAAAAACCTTCATACTTGAAACCTGAAAGCCTAAACCCCAGCTCCAACACCTAATACAGGGGCCTTAATGATTTGGGTGGTATACTTACTGCCATTATAGTGAGGGGTCCCAATTCCGACCCCTATATACCTGCTGTAGTGACTTCGAGTTGTGTTTCGGCAGGGTTTAGGACGATGGGCTGTGGGAATCCCTGCTCAGCCAGCCCAGCAGCCAGCAGAAGGCACTGCGAGGATAAACTAAAAAGGGATCTGTACGGGTAAGGGATACTACAAGACTACTATAGCAACAAAAGGTACCTTACAGGGGCCTTAGCAACATTACAATACGGAACCGAGGGAACAATATTGGTAATTGTTTCCGCCCCTACAGTATCTTGGGATACGGCTCCCGGATCCGGCTAATTAAGTCCTTAGACGATTGCGGATCCTACTGCTCAGAGTTCTACATTATATGTTGCCCCTTGTTTCACGGAACTCCCACTTATGTAAATCCCTAAACTCCAAACCTTAACCCAGAAAGCCCAATACCCCTTAATTAAGGGATATAGCTTAAATCATAATATGAATCCCCTTATAATCTAAGGTATATTGGGCTCTCTGGGAAACCCAGGCGAAGAAGCTTAAATGGCGACTCTGCCAGCGTGGCGATCGTGATTGCCGTCATGATAGAGTCGCCAAGGTCGGTCCTCAATGAGTTTTGGAGTTTAGGGGTTTAGGGTTTAGAGTTCCGGCGTCTTGGGGTTTAGGGGTTTAGGGTTTAGAGTTCTGGAGTCTTGAGGTTTAGGGGTTTAAGGGTTTAGGGTTCCGGAGTCTTGGGGTTTAGGGTTCTGGAGTCTTGGGGTTTCGGGGTTTAGGGTTCTGAAGTCTTGGGGTTTAGGGGCTCAAATGTAGGGTGTCGCTCTTCCCAGGAACTTCGAAAAACGTGTCGTGCTGCTTCCTCGATGCACTGCCACGAAAGAAAAACTACCAGCACGTCTTTCAATCGATGTGCAAGCCACTGCCATAGCTTCTCTAGTCACCACGAACACTATAGGGGTTTGAACTTGGGAGATATTATGAACTGTGTAGACCTATGACAGTATTGCTAATTATTCCGAGGCGCTTGCGAGAAATCACGCGCGGAGCCTGGCCGGCTGAGCAAACTCGCTGCGCCAGGCCTGCGGTCGATCCCACCGGGTAGAACTACCTACTATTTGCTTAAGAAACCCCCAAAAAATAAAAATAATAATCCCTATATTACCCCCATAAGGAATATATCTTTTTATTTTTTGGGGGTTCTTAAGCAAATAGTAGCTACAACACTGTAAAGGCAAAAGTTGAGTCGATTTAGGACACGGTACAAGTATGTACAAGTAGTACAACAGTACGAAGGCAAAGGTTCACTCCAGCTTCGTCCGATCCGGCATCCTGCAAGTAGCCATGTTGCGGGTGATGACATTGCGTCGCTGCAGCCACGCTGGAGCTGGATGCGAGGATGATGTTGATGATGGCGATGGCGGTGGAGGTGGCGGCGGTGGTGGTGGTGGTAGGTTCATGATAGTGGAGATGGCGCCTACGAACACGAGAACGACGACGACGCACCACCACCCCTTCGATCACGACTATGGTGACTAGTAGCGAGGTTGGCATCTTACCATATCTTACCCAACCACTGCACCGCCGTCCTCGTCGTCGATATCCACCACGGTTTCTTGGAGCTATCTTCAACCAGAAAATCCTCTCTCCACCCCAAGCCCTGGACGTGCCTGTCAGGAAGGACATCAGCCGCTGCGCTGTGCTCCGCATCTTGTGATTCCGTGGCGCCAGCCTCCCGCCAGATGAAACTCTCAGGCCCGCTGCGGACGCTTCAGATGTGGGTGGAATGCTACAGCTAAGAATCCTGAACTCGAAACTTGCCTCGGGAATTCGGCATCGATCTGCCAGCCAGTTCCTCCTGAGGCGTGCTTCCACCCAAACCAGAGCTCAGACAACAGGCCCAGCAGAAATCAGCAGTGTTTCTGGTGCGAATCCGAGCAGGGACCATTGCCGGGACACCTGCAGATCCAAAGCTTGGGCCTCGTCCTTTAATCCTGACTTGACTCTTTGTGTCGACTGCAAATGGCAGAGCCTCTCCACAAAATAACATTTTGGGGATGCATCCGACACTACACCCGCAAGATGAAAGGCTATGAAAAGCTTTTCCTGTCCTACTCCGAATCTCCAATTTCCCGGACCCCCTTTTTTGGAGAAGCCTGAACTCCCACGACCCAAAACTCGGACTTCAAGGGTTTTTTTCCTTTTTGAAGAACGGCCCTTTTCCTCCTCGCAGTTGAGTCCGAAAGCAGATTTCTGCTGCGCGTTTGGTAAAGCTGGTATGTCAGCTCCCTGAAAAGCCCTTTCACACCTTTTACAGCACTCGTGGCCGGGAAAACCACACATCACTTGTCACCTTCCTTCTTCACAGTACTCGTATGTCCATCTTCACCCCTCCATCTGTAGGTGCCGATCCGAACTTCGAGGGTTTAGGGTTTAGGGTTCATCCAAGAAAAACTCCAAAGTCTGAACCCTCAAAACCCGAGCCCAGGACAACCGAAAGCCTCTGAGGAACAGTGCACGGTCCTTCCGTGCGAGGCGGCTGGCAGGCCAGAACACGGACAGGCGCGATCTTGGGGAACATGGCATTCCTTGTGGAGTGATATGTCGCCCTAGGTCCCAAAACCAAAACGTTAACCCCAAAGCCCTAAACCCCATATTCTTGTATGAAGACTAAGACTATGACATGGGTCCGTCCCGATGACAACGACGACAGGGAAAGAATACCAAGCGAGGTTGACTGCAGTTCATCGCTGCTCTAGCAGAATACGAGAAGAGCTCATCCCCTCGTATCAAAAACTTGATTACACACCTCCTTGCTCGCAAGTCAATTTATGGACAAGAACGACCCTGTGATCCGTTCGGCCTTACTGGATCTTAGCCTGCACTCGCCGCCGTGGCCACCGACTGATGCGCTATCTTCGTCAAAGCTACTCGTGCGCAGCGCTTGTCACGGACAGCCCAGAAGTCCTATCTCTTCTGCTACTGTGCCTTTCCATTGACAGATTTCATTAGCATGTTCGGACCTGCCCATTGCATCGACGTTTTGACAAGTTTAACCACCAGCAGGAGCAAAGCCAAGCTTCACCGCGTGAAAATAGCTCGCGCTGGAGGCGTCGGCTTCAATCTGAAACTCCCCTGGCTGGACAAGTAAGGTGTATAATAACCCACCTCAGAAGCCTAACATGGCCTACCTTGGGTACGGCCCCCACTCAGTAATAGTTGAATAATATTCGTAATATAGATATAGCAGGACCTTAATAGTAGCCCCATTATGGACTCTTACTGTTTGGGGGCAGTACCTAAGGCCTACCTGTCGAGCACCTAGCATATTCAACTAAAAGGCTGGTTCCATCGAAATACTCCACTGTAAGCACCTTAAACGGATTTTGTACCATAATAAGCCTAATAGCTGCAGTATTGTTTTTTGTATTTTTTGTGTCTGTACAAAGGTCTACGGTACGATTAAAGTCATGTATGATTCCCAAGGAACCACCAATCAAGACACTCTGAGTACAACAAACAGCTTGGTTGCCCAAAGATCCCCCCAACTTCCAAAGCTCGAAAACTTCATCACAAGCAGCTTAGGGTAAGCACTGCAAGTGGCAATCGAGGTACCGTTCGCAATCGCAGCACTAGGAGTGGAAGTAAGCATCAATCTGCTCCCGGCTCGCAGCCAGATCTTAACTCCTCAACTCCTTGGGTTTGAACCTCGGGTTCTCAGGTACCTTGAGTCGGACCTTGAGAAATCCACCAATGGCTGGTTCAGACATTAAGAAGGGATCCTTACACTGACCCCCGACTAGCAGGATCCTGATTTCCAAAAAAAAAAAAAACAGAACAGGACCTCCCTTGAGCCCCAAAATCCCATAGCGAATCCTCAAGCCCTACGGACCCTTAAGCCTAAAGCATCCTAAAAACCCTTGGCCCGGTGGCCTCCTTCATGTGGGAACGCCTTGAGGAGTTCCCGCGTCATCTCCACGTAAGGGAGCCTCGTCTTGCAAAGCGCCAGAGACCGAGCCTAGGGCCTCTGACGGAGGCCCAGGAAACTTCAGAAGTCGGTTATAAGTAGGGTTGTAATTGGGGTAACTCCACTTAGGATACTTCTAACTCTACTTATAACCTACTTACTAATACTTACTATGTCCCCTGGGCCATTAAGTGCAGCCTTACCAAGTACCGAGCAGCTCATCTGGATTCGCGTCTGGAGGCGTCGAGACGTTCCAACTCCCCGCCCGGCTGGAGAGCAGCAAAGCACTGGCAAACTGCGAGCTGTCCTGCAGCATATGGTGTTCTGGGATTTGATGGTTTAGGGGTTCAGGGCTTCCCGCTTTGCACATGCTCTTACAGATGTGGTGGTTGCCAGTGTAGTGGTTGCGCTTAACTCCATAAGGAACAATTCTGCGTGTGATTATGCATACTGTGCCCTCTTTGTACTTTTTGACATCGGGCTTGTGCTGTACTGGTGCAGTCTGGGTCGCCGGCAGGGCTGTCAGAAGCAGAAGGTGAGATGGCAGCTTCCAGTGCAGCAGAGAGCATCAGGAGGTCGCCGCAGTCGGCACTATAGGGGCCTTAAAAATAGTTATCATAAGGAAGCCCCAAACTATAGTAAGTATTTAGGCCCCCATATAAGTGGCTGTCATGGTTGCCGATGTCAGTGGATGTCGGTGAGGCAGTGAGGCCAACCCCAAGCCGAGGCGATCGAAACCCAACACTCTAATATAGGGGCCTTAATAATTCGAATGGGTCTTTCGGGCCCATTATCCTCTACAAAAAAGAAGGAACCCCCAAATAGTATAGGTGTTTATGAAGGCCCCTAGAGTACCCCTCGTGTCCCACAAGGCTTAGGATTTGGGAAACGCTACAGTACCCGGAGACTCCCGTATCGCTTAATTAAGGAATATACCTTAAATCATATTGGGATCCCAATATAAATTCAGCTATATTCCTTAATTAAGGGATACTGAACTGGAGTCTCTGGGTCGGATCTCATAGCCCCAGGCTCCTCGACGCTGACGGTTACCGCACCAGGCCTCGAGAACTGAGCAGCTTTCTGGAGCTCTGGGGCCCATATCCGTGGGTATCCAAATATGCCTCAACCGAGCTTCCAAAACCTATTTCCATTATTTCCGGATCTCCCTACGGAAGATCGCTTTCGCTACATGTGGTAGGGCTTCAGAGCTTGGATGTTTTTGTAGACTTTTTCAGGCATGGCTTGGCTTTGCGACAACTTCTTGAACTTTCAGACCTGCAGGATCCCATACACCGACTTCAGGCGGATGCCGAACTCTTGAAAGTTCAAAGGCGTCAAAGGCACTGGGTTGACCCAAGGGAGGCGAGGGGCTGGGAAGAGGTCGAGGGCTAGCGAGCATAGGGACCTTAATCGTTAGAATAGGGTTTGGGGTGTAGTAACAAACTAAGTAACCACCAAACTAGCATACGTATTTGTTCATGCCCCTATAGTCATGTCTGTCGGATTTTGCTCTGCTGGTCACACGTCTGCATGTTTAGGTCCGAAGGTGCTTATGCGTGAGAGCGTGCACCCATTATTGTGGATGGACCAGACCTATCTCCGCAAGCGCTGTGAGGCTTCCGACCGCCGCGGTAACATGCACACATCCTGAAGCTTCCAACAGTTGGTAGGGTCGAAAAACATCATTGCTGGGGTCTGTTAGCTCTACGCAACTTCACGCCTGATTTTAAACGCTCGAAACTCGAAACCTCAATCTGCACTCTCAAAGGTGGAACCCGACCTGCCACAAGTTGTAAGCAAGCGAGTAAAGACGCTACACCCCGAAGGCTCATCAACCGTCCCTCGCTTGGGCCGCGGCTTCGCACCCTCGCCGTAGAAGACGGCGGGCAGCTTGTCATTCGGAGTCTCCTTGGCGTCATACATCTTAAACCCCAAAGCCCTAAACAGCAATATAGGGGCCTTAATAGTCGGAATAGGGTTCCTTTAGACGGGGGTCTATAAGGGTTACCACAAGGGATCCAGAAGGGTACTATTCTAAATGCGCCTTATTAATTAGACTCTAATAGTGAACCACAAAAACAGTATAGGTAAGTTATTAATTGTTAAGGCCTCTAGAGTAGTTTTCTTGCAAACCTCGGCCTGAGGGACTTGGCGTCAGAGTGGGCTTGTTCCATCTGTTCCGGCTTAAGGTCTCCCTGTTTGAAGCCCTCTACACCCTTTTTGCCACTGGGCTTGGGGCTAGCCCTCTAAACCCTAAACCCAAAACCCCTTTTTGCAGCAGGCCTCGTTGTCCAGCAGCCCGGTCCGAGCGAGTCGTCTTTACACTTGCTGAATACAAGGAGAACAAGCTCGCCCACAACTGCAATGACATTATCTATGTTACCAGAAGATGCATTCTATACGCAAGTGAGGTTCTGTACAGAAGGTCAAGAAGCTCAGTCGGGATCCCCATCTGAACCCATTCCGGATTGTTCCCTCTGACGCTCAGCTCGGCGAGCTTGCTTTCTCGCCACCCTGCGCGTATGATGTTCTTCGCGTAAGAGCTGTAGATCAGACACCACGGTCGGAGCGTGACATACTTCAACAAGTGGCTGTTGCCCAAGTGCAGACTCAGCTTGTGACATCGACCCCACATTCGGACCCCCTTCAGCTTCAAGATCACACGTGGCAGTCGCCGCCTCAGAAACACGAGCCTGTAATGATGCAATGGTTGCCTTCTGTGCTTCCAGTACAACAGCAAATTGCTGGACAGTCCGATCCACCATTTCTTTAACAAGCTTCTCACACTCTGGCCTGGTAATCATCTCTTGCTCTGTTTGGGTTGCCGAAACGGACACCTCTGGTAGAGTAGTCGGTTCTGACAGCTCTTCACCTTGTGAGCATAATGCCCTGTACAAACTGATAGTGCGTCTCCGCTTTGGGTTTGGCGTAGGATCATGATCAGACCTGTCGGTGGCATTCAAACTGGTACTGTTGTGAAGGAGGTAGTACATAGCTTGCTGAAGGTGATGGCGTGCCTCCTCACAGCACTGGCTTCTCGCAAGGCGGATCGAATGCCCAATGCAGGAGATGAGCTTGGATGTAACCATGGCAGACTTGGGATTAGACTTGCAAGGAATTAAAGTGTCCATTTGGACCTCGGAGCCTTGAGCCGTAGCCAGGGGCCCTTGAGCCAAAATGGCTTGAGCCAAAATGGCTAACCCAAAACCCCTAAACCCTTAACCCTGACCCTAAACCGCCTAAGCCCTAAACCCTAAACCCCCCAAGCATCCCGTAACTCCGAAAGTCACTGGCCGGGGCACAATCCGGTAGCCCAGGGAGCGCAGGGCCCGGATCAACTCCTGGAGTTTCACTTCCCAGATTTTCGGGAGGATCCAGAAAGTAGATCCCTTAATGGGCGTTACTATAAGGGTACTATAAGGGTTCCTTTAAAGGGGTCTATAAGGGTTTCAGAGTTTCCGAAAATTAGGGGTACCTTATTTGGGGGGTCCTTGTAATAAGGATCCTACTTTTTAGGGCACTATATTAGGGTCCCCCTCATTTTCGGGAACTCTCACTTTGCAGGAGGAGTCGAAAGATCAAGGAGCTCTCGATCTGAGCTTGGGCTTCAGGGCTTAGGATGGTTTAGGGCTTTAGGGCTTATAGGGTTTCGGGATTTTTATAGGATTTAGGGCTTCTGGGGTGTTTTCGCTTCCGAGTTTAGGGGTTTATGGGCAGAGGGATTAAGGATTGGGGTTTTCCGGTTTGGCACTTTAGGGATTCGGGGACAAGGTCCTGAATTCCGAACATGCCGAAGACCCTCAGCTCGAAAGACCGCGGCCAAGCCGAACCGAAATTCGACTATTCCCATCACTACTATTAGTGGTACTGTTACTATGGTCATTACGAGTCAATATTATTTCCTCTACTCTTCAATCCAAGCCCCTGGCCCAGCTCCCGAAGCCTGGACCTTTGAAACTCCAAAAGCATATGCAGAACCTGGGCTTGCAGGATCATTGCACCCTAAAAGCTGACCTGTGAACCCTCTAGACCCGAAAAATGCTTGTTTTGAATCTGGTCTCCATGATGCTAGCCTCAGAACCAGGCAGCAGTCCACGCAGAAAACCATCAAACACACTCGGCTCCCTAAACCCTGAAGCCTAAGCTCACTAAACTTTAACTGGGTTGCTATCTTGGGGGCCCTTAAAAGTACTTATGAAAAGCTACCTCCATAGGAACCAACGGAAATTAACAAGCTTCCCAACGTGCTACCTTAAACCCTAAGCCCTGGAGAGCTGGCCCTGATTCCCTGGCTGCAGTCCTTCTGTGGCCGCTCGTGCATGCGCGGCACTCCGCTGAGGCGGTAAACGCCGTTGCCCAGGCAAACCATCGCCTGAGTCACATAATGTAGGGGCCCTAATAATTAGAATAGGGTTTTGGGGCCCATCATACTATAAGTACAACAAGGAAGCTTTGCGGCCTTGTACCAGCAACTAGAAAGAAGAAATCGAGGCCCACAGAAATGGATGCGGGGTTGGGGAGCTACAGAATACGGAACTCCTAAAAATTCGCACACGAGTCCAAAGAAGAGCCAACTGCAGCCAAAGAGCTGAGAGAAAGCGAGCAGCGGTGCCCGCATTGGCCACGAAAAGTTCCAGCGGGGCCTTGTCCGAGCTGGGTGGCATATGACTGGCAGTACTTGGCAGTACAAACATGTACAAACCATGGTGATATCAGCCGTCGTCTTCGCACGTGCGGTAGCCGTGGCGGCGGCGGCGGCGGTGGCGGTGGTGTGGCTGCTGTTGCTGTTTTTTGCTTCTGCCGCTGCCGCAGCCATTGTCGTTGTCGTTGCCGTCGCCGGCGTGGTCGCGGTCGTCGTCGTGCTGCCGTCGTCGTCGTTGTCGTTGCTGTTGTTCGGCATCGCGGCAGTATCCGCACTGGTAGTGAAGAGTCAGACTGGGGTTTCAGTGCTGATGAAAGGTGGTGTCTCTGAGCCCCGCACGTCTGACGTCCCCCCTTTGGGCAGCTTGCCATTGCAACCTGCTTCAAATTCCGCTATCTGTTCAGTCTCCGGGATCTGAGTACAGGTGGCGAGGATTGAGGGAACCGCGACGTGTAGAGAGTCACTTGTGGCAGGCTCACTGCAGATGAGAACAGGAAAGATCACAACAACATAAGATGCAAAGGAATGCATCTGCCCCCTCAACTGCAATGACGAATGTCGGTCTACCCTGCAGGCGCTCTTTGACATGCTTGAGGAAGGGATTGGGTCTGATGTCCAGGCAGCCGTCGAAACCACGACGCTTCGCCCTAACAGCCCACAGCCAACGGTGAAGAGAGGTTAGCCATTGGCACAAAAGCCTTACCTCAAACTTCCTGTCCTGAAGAATTCCACCCGTAGCTTCACTACCCACAGCAACCCTCCGCAAGCTATCAACTCTGAAACCCTCAACCCTAAAGCACTAACCCCTAATATAGGGGCTTTAATCATTAGACTAGGTTTATGGGGACCATGAATTCTCTGAGGCTCTAACCCTCAACCCTAAAATTCTGGCCCCTGAAGCCGAGGCCCGGGCCTTGGATGGTGATGATGCGGTTGGCCTCGAGTACCGGGTCCACGGCCACCTTCCACAGGTTGCAGCCCTTTTGTAATCCTGCCGGTTTTGTAAAGAGCCCTAATGTCAGTATTGGGAGGAGACCCATAAGAAGCCCTTTTGAGCTAGAGGGGTTGTGATGGGGGTCTAGGGTCCCCGATTTTCTCAAGCTCCCACATCACTGTGGCTTAGGCAGGGTGAAGGGTCCAAACGTGGAAGCCACAAACTGACAGCTTCTAGTTAGAGCCCTCAACCCTAAACCCTAAACCGAGTGAGAAGCGGATGGTGCAGCGTTGGGGCTTCCTGGGTGGTTTAGGGTTTCAGGTTTTGCGGCCAATTCTGATTTCTGGCAGCCGGAATCGAACCCAAACTGTTGCCAGTACAACTCAGACAGAGTGCTACCATTACTCCGTAGGCCTCCTACCTCCTTTGTCCCCCACCGCTATCCTGGCGCTTACCACCGATGCTGCTCCCCTAATCCGGCTTCCGGGACCTGGCCTCCAGCTGGATGCCGAGTCCTCATCGCCAGGACAGGCTTGGGTTTTTTTTTAAAGGACCTCTTTTCGATCTGCAGGCTTGGGGTTTAGGGTTTAGGGTTGAGGGGCCAGGACAGGCATAACAAGATCAACAACGACAGCAATAGCAACAGCAATGACACGAATAGGGGGCAGCAAATAGTGGCACAGCCACCTCTCCAGACTAGAACCGAAAAACGACAAGCAGATTTACGCAAAGAGCAGACACAGTCGAAACCTTGTCTGGACGAACCCCCAGGTCTTACGGTTGATGATATACATCCTGCATTGCTCATAATTAGGAATACACCATAATTCGCAAAGCGTAGGATCCTCAAGGTAATGTAGGATTTATATCACATCCCTTTTCCCTAAACCCTATTAAACCCTAAAATCCCTTTAGATCCCTTAAAGGAACCCTTTGCAGGTAATGCAGGGTTTCCACCATCCGTCATAGGACCTTAAGGACCATCAGCAGTATTGCTCAGCCCAAGCATCGCTGCATGCAATCCACCATGGCCTCGGTATCCTCGCTCCACAGAGCTCCTTCCAGCTCTCTTCCGGTACTTTGGTTAGTAGGGAATAGGGTTCCTTTAAAGGGATCTATAGGGGTTTAGGGTTCCTTTAAAGGGATCTTTACCTTTGGTTAGTAGGGAATGGAGGACTGGGGTACCATTATAACTACTATTACTACCATTCTTCCATTCCCTACCAGCCACAGGTAAGTCTTCCGGTACTTCGGTTTCGGAAATCGGCTCTAGGCTTTTTAGGAGTTTTGCACCTGGGAGTCATGTGACTTCGGTTCCGGGTTTCCTAGGCTTAGTAGGGGTTTAAGCTTTAGGGTTTGGGGTTTTGCACTTGAGAGTCAGGTGAGTCCCGTCATGCTCAGCAAATGGCACTGCGGCCAAGTCTAGTAGTCTAGTCGCCCCAGGCCGTGAGATCGACTCTCCCTAGTGCCACACCCCGGTTCGTGCGAAGGCAACCCAACCTCGTCAAAGTCGACGCGAAATCCCAGCCCTGAATCGTTGAATTGGGAGCATTTCACAAGGGTGTGTCCTTTGAGCACCACCTTGCCCTTCCCGAGCGCTGCAAGCACAATGGCCTCACCCCGACGCGCTCCGGCTGGGCTGCTGCATCCTACAACGGAACTGCTCCTACAACTACTACGACTACTACGACTACTACAACTCTAATGCTACTGCTGCTTCCACCACTACTACTACTACAACTACTACTACTACTACTACTACTACTACTACTACTACTACTACTACTACTACTACTAGTACGACTACTACAACTCTAATGCTACTGCTGCTTCCACCACCACTACTACTACTACTACTACTACTACTACTACTACTACTACTACTACTACTACTACTACTACTACTACTACTACTACTATTACTACTCCGCCTCCTCCTCTTGCTGCTGCTGCTGGTGATGCTGCTGCTGCTGCTGCTACAGCTACTACTCCTCCTCATTTTCCTCCTCCTCCTCGTCCTCCCCCCGGCACTACGACGACTACGACGACGACAGCTCCGGTTTCGCCAAGACTGCTTGTGGCAGTTAGGGTACTGGTACTGAACAATAATGAGCACCCACATACAATGGCAACAACAAGCACAACCACCATATTAGGCTTGAAATGGGTAAACACGTGTACAAGAGTGAGATGCGCCCTGCGAATTGCCGACCAGCCACGCGGTTGGTGATGCCTTGCATCTGCAAAAGCCCAAGCGTCTGAGACTGAGGCTGGCTGGCTAAGGCTAAGAAGGTCAAAACCACACCCACCCGCAAGGGGCTGAAGCAAGCACAGCGCAAGTCCAATACTTCCAAGACAAGTCAGGAGGAAAAAAAAGTTGCCAGTACTCGCCCGCACGTCGGAAGTCCGGCATTCTTCCTCGTTATTCACCAGCACTCCTGCAGCTGCGGACACGCCGAGATGCTCTTCGAACCGGGGACCATGATCTCGGCCTCGAAAGCTCCGAGTCAGTCATGAGGTTTACATCGACAGGAGATGTCATCAAGAGCTGCTAAGGGACCTGAAGACGTGACAAGCTCAAACCAAGACCGCGACTCCTGAGTCGCGACAAATGACAGCAATTTTGCCTCTTGCATGGCTGAATGATCGCGAAGCAAGGTTACAAGTGACAAGATGGTGAATTCATGGCTGTTTTGGGTTATTATTAACTAATGACAGTAATACTACTAATAATAATCAGACTATTAACAATAGTTATACTAATAACGGGTTATATTAATAACAATACCAACAATTACAATACTAGCAATAGCAAACATCGCATCGATAATCCTGAACCCTAAACTCTAAACCCTAATAGCTGGCCGTGGTGCCTTGTTGGTCGCGAAGCTCTGCAGCTGCTCCGGGGAGAGCGGCACAATCCTTAGGTGTTTTTTTTGTTGAACGCCTTTTTCCGTCGCACAGGCTGTCCCTAGCTTCAGAATCCACCTACTAAGGACTAGGGTTTAGGGTTTTGCCGTAGGGCTTGAGTCTGCGATGCGCGTCCTTGCCTTCGGCAAAGTGTGCTCGCTTTACATAAACAGGGAAGACAAACTCCTACAATGCCGAACCTACAGAGCCACGCGACTACAGCCTGCCCAGCTGACGAAAAGGAATACATATACTGTATCTGTGATATGCATATACATGTATGTATCTGACATTTATATCCATATGTATAGAGTTATATGTACAAACATACAACTTGAAACTCAGAGAGAGAGAGAGAGAGAGAGAGACAGAGAGAGATTTTCGGCACCTCCTCACATCGCTCCTCTGAGCTAAACTACTCCAAAGCGCAAAAAAGCTTTCAGGATTCTGGATATGTGGGATTTCGGATGGTGCACACCGAATATAGGGGCCTTAGTAGTTAGAATACGTAGGATTTTGGGGCCCGTTCTACGATAATTATGAGATGGAACCTCCAAAATAGTGAAGGTAATTTATGATGCTCTGATATTATTTACATTCATGCCTTGAACATGAGAGGTCTGCGTCGCGGGCAAGCAGCTCGATGAGCTCCGGAAGAGGCATGGCGCCAATCACAGTGACGCCCAGAAGCAGCGGCGCCCAGCGAAACTACGGCCGCTTCTTGGAAATCTTGGTAATTACTTCCAAGGCTGCTCCTTGCCGTGACGATGGACGCACACAACATGAACTTGTTGGGTGACGGTGTACCCTAAAATGCCGTGAATGAAGGAAGAAGTGCTAGTATTTGTTGTTATCTGGTAATACCTTCTATAACCACCTATTCATATATAGGTCTCTATATATGCATATATATATACATATATATATATATGCATATGTTATGTAGCATATTCAAGTATATCATACTATCGGTTGCTATCATATCATATTATTGACTACTGTCTGTTCAAGGCGGGTCTGTGCCTGAGTGAGCGAGAAATTTCCTCAGCAAAGCTCTGCAATCTCGCAAGCCCCGGGCAGCCTTCCGAAAGGATCCACCTCCTGGGGCCTTAATAATTAAAATAGGGTTCCTTTACAGGGGTCCTTTGAAGGGGGTCTATAAGGGTTACTGCAAGAGTACTATTATAGGATCCCTAAGACTTCGAATAGGGTAAAAACCCACCAAACTAGTATAGGTGATTTCTCATGCCCCTATATTACTTCATCACGAAGACCGTACTCTTCATGTGAATGCTTCCTGCACTGTCGGTTACAAGATATTACAAGTAATGTAAGTGGCTCTTCTTCAACCCCCGAGACAAAACGAAGCCCAGTCAGCGAACAAGGGGACAGACAAACAAGAATCGTGTCAAAAGTAAAAACCGTGCCGTCCTGGCCCCAAAGGTGCAACCACAGCAAAACAGGTTACCAGGTTATCCATTCATCTCCAGCTGCACCGACTCTTCAGCTGAGCTTCTCTAAACCGGTGGCAAGATGGGAGTTTCCGAAAATTAGGGGTGCCATAATAAGGATCCTACTATTTTTGGGTTCCTTTAAAGGGGTTACTATAAGGGTACTATAAGGGTTCCTTTCAAGGGCTCTATAAGGGTTTGGAGTTTCCGAAAATGGGGTACCTTGTTTGGGGGTCCTGGTGATAAGGATCCTACTATTTAGGGTACTATATTCGGGTCCCCTATTTTCGGAAACTCAAAGATAAAGTAAACCAAACCCTCACGCGACACGGTAAATCATGCGGCAAACCTAACCCGTAAACTCGAGCAACTGCTGGAACGCAATGCTCGCTCTCTTAACAACCTCGAGAGCCTGTTGTTTACATTCAAAAACCCGAAACTCCCAAAATCTCGGGCCAGTGCCAGTTCCGTTGTTGATTCCAGGGGCCGCCTCGGGCTTGGCCGTTTCTGTGCTCCCGAGCGTTTCACGATTATTCGTAGTCCTTATCACTTGGTCTTCCTTTAATATTCTCGTATTCATTATTGTTCTTAGTCCTACCATTCATATTGCCTTCATTACGCTTGCTCTAAGTTGATTTAATATTCTCGTGATGAGTACTCTTATTGGGAGCGCTGAAGAACAGCTGGATCCCGCGAGCCTCAGGAGAGCCCAGAGGGGTCCGGAGAGGCGACGGAGAGCACCTGGACTCCGGTTTCGGGCTCTAGGGCTTTTAGGGCTTTTGGGTTTGGGGTTTTGGGGTTTTGTGGTTTTGTGGTTTTGGGATTTGGGGGTTTTACGGATTTGGGTTTTACGGCTTTAGGTTAGGGTTCAGGGTTTCGGGGTATTACGGATTTGGGTTTTAGGGTTCAGGGTTTAGGGCCTCTAGTTCGGGTGTGGAGTGGTTTGGGGAGCTAAGTGCTGCAATCTGGCTTTTTAAGGGAGTGTTGAGTTTAGGGGATTTCGCTCTCACACTCAGACTTGGAGATTCAGGCTTCAATCTCTCAGCATCGCTCGAGCTCTGCCAGATGAAGGTCTTGCTTGTGTTTCGGGCTTGGGGCCACGACTGCTGCTTGGCGGACCGGATGAGATGAAGGCATTTTTCATGTCCGACTGAGATACATGGTCTGGGCAGCTTCGTTGCAAAGCAGATCCAAGCTGTCACGGACTAGCCTTTCCTACCCATCATGCGTGTAGCCCATCAACCCGTGAAACAAGAACTATATGTACGAATTGAAAAGTTGCTCTCTGAACCTGTGTTCAGTGATGTTGCGATTTCGTCGAGTCTGTGTACATGTACATCCGGGCACACGTGCACACACAAGGACAGCTGTCGGTGTCAGCCTGCCTGCAGCATGTGCATTCTTTCTTCCTGATCTACCAGTTGCTTATCTTGCTGTGGCCGCGCCATCTTTTTTTTCAGGCCGAGACAGACATCCATATGGGTTGCTGTCAAAATTATGGTCCCTTGTTGGGTCCTTCTTATAAAAAACGGCACTTAATACTAGTATTTAGGGTACCCAAAAAAAAGGACCCGAATTTAACCACCCATATTAGTCTGCCCAGTCACTGCTAATAACTATTGCCTCCTGCTGGCTTTGCGACGACAGGTCTCGACTTCAGGACCAAGAAAGCACTTTTGGCATTCAGGCGTGGCTCGTCGCGACAGACTTGAAGTTTGGCGCTCTTCCACCCTGAATCCGAAGCCTAGAGCTCTGAACTGGGATAAGCCTGATACCAACTCTAGCCGACTCTTGCCGTTTCAATTCACCAAAATCCCCTACAGCTCCTTGAATTGGTTTAGGGTTTAGGGGTCTGGGGTTTGGGGGCCCCTTGAAACCTCAGCTTGCTTTCCAGGTTGCGGCCGAGGAGGCAGAGATCTTTTCTGGAGGCTTCTCGTCCAATTGCCTCCGGGGCAGAAAAGAGCCGCGCCTACCGTTAGACCACAACTATATCCCCAAAAAAACATGCATAGCAGAAACAGGCTTGCTGAATCATATCTTGGGTACGCTACCACGACCACAGCAATAGTCTTAATCACACCTTGGGGCTACACGGCTACTGTATACTACCAAGAATTCCGACGTCGTGCCGAGGATTCAGGGAGCGGCTCGGGGCTGACAGGGCGGAAGGCTGCCAGGCTCAGTGGGACTCCCCAGAGAGCCAAATACCCCTTAATGAAGGAATATACCTTAAATTTATAGGGGGATTCATATTATGATTTAAGCTATATATATTCCCTAATTAAGGGGTATTGGGCTCTCTGGGTCTCGCAACTCGGAAGTCCAGGCGACGGCGAGGCTCTGCAGATTAGTGCAAGAGCAGCTTTTTCTCTTCTCAGATTGCAATCATCTCTAAGATATTGCGCATGTGGCAAATGAATTAGATGTAAGAGCTCACGCAAGAGCGCGGCAGTCTGTGCCTATGCAGATGGCAACGAAGTTGCCCTCCTGTACAGATAGTATAATCGGAAGCTCGGAAGCCCCTATGCTTCCATGCGCTTCAACATTGCTTCAAAAGTTGACCATGCCTCTGAATCTTTACACCTAAACAGGTGGCAAGGTCTTCAACGAGCAGCCCGTGCAGCCGGAGGAGTACTGCCATGCGGACATTGGGACATACTCACACCAAGTGGCACATCCAGCAGCAACCGGAGTGGAGGATGATGGGCCGCTTGCACCCTGAGAACATCCACGACACTCCGGCGTGTACTGGTGCGACGGAGTCGGGACCCAACCACACCAGCTCGCACATCCGCCGGGGGTTGCTGGTGCGGGAGCTGGCACTGTCGCGGGTCCGCTGCCGCCCTGAGCGCATCCTCGGCACTCCGGCGTGTACTGCTGGGATGCGCTCGGCACGTACTGACACCAGGCGGCGCAACCCTGTCCGGGAGTGACCGGACTGTCCGGTCGCACGGCTGGGGATCCACCGGAGCAGCCATGGCAGCTCGGAGTGTACTGCCAAGATGCATGTGGGACCCATCTGCACCAGTTGACGCAAACGCCCTGTGTTCCATTCACTGGCCGGCCACTGTCTGGCCCCACCGGTCGATCCCGTCCCGAGCAACCACCACATTCGGGAGTGTACTGCCAGGAGTTTTGGGGGACCCACTGGCACCAACCCACGCAGTTTCCAACGTCGCTTCCACTGTGCGGCAGGAACGGTCCATCCAGCTCTTGCCCAAAGCAGCCATGGCAGCCATGAGTGAGGTTCCAAGATGCTGTGGGGACCCATTGGCACCAGTTCGAACAGCTTGCATTGCTCCCATTCACAGGCGCTGTGGGACCAATCGGCAGCGGGGAAGACACATTTCCAGAGCAGCTGCGGCAGTCTGGAGTGGTCTGCCAGGAGGCCCTTGGCACCCACTTGCAGTAGTCTGCACATTTGATGCTGGCCGGTGCCGATGGCGTCGTACCAGTCGTGCCCGAAGTTGAGCACCCACGGCATTCTGGTGTATACTGACGGGAGGCCAGCGGCACCCACTGGCACCAGCCCACGCAAGTTCCATTGCCGATGACAGCGCCGGAGCTGCCCTCATCCGGGTGAGAGTTTGAGCAGTTGCGGCAATCTGGGGTATACTGCCAAGAAGGAGATGGGACCCACTGGCACCAACTCACGCAGTTTCCTGTCGTCTGGATCGGTGCTGTTGGGCGTTCGACTGGTTGACTGGGAGTTCCTCCTGAGCAGCCGCGGCATTCCGGGGTGTACTGCCAGGAGCCCTGCGGCACCCAGCCACACCAACTATCGCAGGCTGTTGTGGTGGGTCTTGCAGGGGTGGTGGGGCTGGTAGGGGTGACGGCAGGCCTCTGTCCAGAGCAGCCGTGACAGTCGGGAGTGTACTGCCATGAGGGGCTTGGCACGTAGGTGCACCAATCGACACATCTGCCAGTGGGCCTGGGTCCGGAGACGGGTGCCGGGGTGGCTGGGCTCGGCTGACTGGCGGTGCCTGAGCAGCCTCGGCAGTCAGGGGTGTATTGCCAGGACGGGCCGGGCACCCACTGGCACCAGCTCACACACGGGCCTTGGGATGCACCTCTCAAGGACGGCTGTGCAGCATCGGGAAGCGCTGTGGCAGTCGTCACCAAGACGAGGCAAGCTGCACGGAACGCCATCGGGAAGAGATGCTAAGATTTTCTCTCTCTCTTAGTGTTTGGGCCTCTCGCACTCGAACGATG